ATAAAAAGGACCTTTAGAACGACAAAAGAGAGTCTCCCCCAAGAGGACACAGCCCTCCTAAAAGGCTTGCATCCAACAGCAGAGGGACAAGATGTGTGAAGCAAGGCCCGGTCAACCTGAAAAGAAAATGTGCAACTTCACACTGAGAGCCGTTGACTTCAGTATCCCTCAGCCATGGATAGAACAACCGGACACAATACCAGCAAGACTGCAGCACTCAGCACCATCAATGCAGGGGGTCTCCTCATAGGACACCCTCCCCCACAAACAACAAAGTATACCTGCTCGTCAAATACCACAGAACACACACCAACACTGATCACTTTCTGCGCTGTAAATAAAATAAAATAAAATAAAATAAAATAAAATAAAATAAAATAAAATAAAATAAAATAAAATAAAATAAAAAACCCTCAACAAATGTACAGGAGTTTGTACACACAGAGGATAGCCTCTGACCAGAAGGCAAGCAGAAACCAAGACCGGGTAGTCACTTGTAAAGTGAGCAGCAGGCTTCTAGATGGTCTGTGAGTCAAGAGGGCGTCCCAAAGGACCTGACAGTCCATGGAAACAAATGAAAATACAGACATCCCAGCCTGTGGGCTGAGAAGGCAGCTCTGAGAAAGAGGAATGAAAGTGCTTTCTTTGAAAACTTAGAAAAAGACCAAAACACACCCACCAAAACACTCACAAGAACGAGGGAACTAAAGAGCGAGCAAAAATCATGGAAGTGAAAACAGAGAGCTCTGTGTTCAAGTCAGGAGACTTTGGTAATGAAGAGCTGGGTCTTTGCAAAGGTCCCACAGTTGATAGGCAGCTGGTAAGATGACAATGGAGGAGGTGGAGAGGCTGGCATCAAGGAAGACCGGAGGGCTGGAGCCACAGGTTCTGCAGGCTGCGGCAGAGGTCAGCAAGGGAGGGGGAGGATGTGAAGAGAAAAGGAGGGAAGGGTGGGGAAGAGGAGGTGAGGATAGGAGAGGGGCGGAGGAGAAGGAAGCAGAGGGGAGGTAAAGGAGGAGAAGAGAGGGAGCTGGGGAGAGAGGAAGGGAAGGACAGAAGGAGAGAGGGCTGGGATGGAAGTATAGAGGAAAGGGGGCAGGCCGAGGATGTGGCATGGCAGTGTTCAAGTCCTTAGTGTGGACGATCGTGCCCTCTCCCTACCTGTTCAGTGCTGTGCTGGAATTCCTAGGCAGTGACGAGACAGAGGAGAGAAATGGACACTATGCAGACTTCATAGGCAGAAGAGCAACTGTAACTGCAGATGACATGGTTGTCTACACAGAAACTCCCAAGGAGGCCATCAAATCCCAGAGTCCATCAAATCCCGGAGTCCATCAAATCCCGGAGTCCATCCTGCAGACAGTAGGGCACAGCCTGTGGAACAGGTTGGTCATTCCTAATCTGAAAATCCCAAACCAAAACTGTTTGACTACTGATATAAAGTCACAAGTAGGAAACGTACACCATAGGACACTGTTCCGTACACAACACTACTGAAAATATTGTGTGAGGTTCACACAAAGGAATCTCGTGTTTTGATTTGGGGCCCATCCTCAGGGTGTCTTATTAAACACATACAAATACTCCAAAATCCTAAATAAAACATAAACTACAAGGTGCTTCAGGGTTTGAGGATTTAAGATGTAAAATAAGAGATATCTAACCTGTATTTCCATGTACGGTTCATAAGCATGTAACCACCAAAACTAAAGACATGCTACCCTTTAAATATCTCAGGTTGAGATTAAGTTTAAAACCTTAAAACCAGTGTAGGATTTATATACTGAGAACCTCAGTGTATTGAAGAGGGAAAAAAAGAGAATAAATGGAGAGATATACTGTCATCAAGGATTAGAAGACCAAAAACAAAGGGGTAAACTCTCTATAAATTTATTCACCAATTAGCACAATGCCTGTTGTGGCAATCTCTTTCTGGGCATGACATAGCTGTTGTTGTCTTGAAATCAGATCAGCTGTGATTGAAGTACATGGTAGAAACAGAGTCAATGAAGGCCACTCTGATGGGGTCTCAGGTGGAAACAGAGAACGTGTTTTCGGATGTGGAGAGAAGGCAACCTGTGTAACAAGATGTCAGTGGATTGGCTGACCTGTGCTCTGGGGTTTTGTAGAAGGTAGAAGTCACCGGTGGCAAAAAACCTGAATATTGAGCAGAGGAGATTTCAGAGTACAGTGTTGAAGGTGTGGCTTGGCTCACTCAGGAAAATGTGCAAGGGGCAGTGAACTAAAGAAGGAGAGAGGAACCAGAGCTTGAAGCCTACTTGCGTTGAATACCTACAGGTCTGTATAAGCAGAGATGCTGCTGGCTTGAAATGAATGGGACAGAGACAAGGATGGACTGAAGGACAGATGTTAGATGTTTGGGATTTGACAGAGAAGATGATCTACTGACAAGCACGTACTATTCCCAAACATGTATTGTTCTCCAAAAACAAAGAATGATGATCCTGAAGGCCATAGGAGATCAATAGGAGGACACATTGCTTTCCACAGACCAGAGTTCTTGCCCTCCACATTGGTTTCTGTGGACTGGGGTCCCCACCCACTCACATTGGTTCCACAAAGTAGAAGTCTCTCCCACACAGATTGTCTTCCATAGACTAGAGTCTCCCTTGCACATTGGCTTCCACAGAACAGAAGTCTCTGCCAGAGCCTTGGGCATGACTCAGCAGCCTGACAGGGTCGTGAGATGCCTGCCTGAGTCTATGGGTCAATGCTCTGAAGAGCTCAAGGGCCAGCTACCCGCAGATCCCAAGTCTGAAGACACAAGATCCTTTTTTTTTACACCTGGTCACCTCTTTCCTCCTTTCTAGTTTCTCCCCCTTGAGATGAGGAATGTCTGCCCTATGGCCATCCCAGCATACATAACTTGTCTGCTTCAAAGGCTCACAGCCAGAAAGGAATTTTACCTGGGGATGAATTATACCTTGAGCCTCATCCATATCTGATGATACTAACATAAGACTTTGAAATTCAGCTTTGGAGTCAAGACTGGAATGAGGTAAGTCTCTGGACTGGTGGGGTGGAATGAATATATTTTGCATGCAAGGATAGATTGAGGAGGAGCAAGCGTGGGGTGCTTTGGAATGAAATTGTGGGTGTCCCATCCCCAAATCAGTTGTTGAAATGAAGGCATTTGGAGGTAATCTGGTTTAGGTGAGGACAGAAGTCATGTGTGGGACTGGTGTTCATAGGAAGGGGTATAAGTGAGTTTGCTCTCTAGTTGTTTTTTTACTCTTTGGGGGCCCACCACCAGCTCCCAAATACACAGAGATTTATTCTTACTTATGAATGCCTGGCCTTAGCCTGGCTTGTTCTAGCCAGATTTTCTAACTTAAATTATCCCATTTCTCTTTAACTATGTTTTGCCTCTGGGCTTTTTACCTTTCTTTATTCTATATATCTTTCTTCTCTTCTTACTCAGTGGCTGACTGTGTGGCTGGGTGGCTGGCTTCTGAAGTCCTCCTCTCCTTCTCCTTTTCTTGCCCCTCCCTCTTCTTTAGATTTCTCCTCTTATTTATTCTCTCTACCCTCCAGCCCCACCTGCTTCTTTCTCTTGCCCTGCTATTGGCCGTTCAGCTCTTTATTAGACAAATCAGGTGTTTTAGATAGACAAAGTAACACAGCTTCACAGAGTTAAACAAATACCATATTTAAAAAATGCAGTGCATCTTTGAATCATTAAACAAATACTCCACAGCATAAACAAATGTAGCGCATCTTAAACTAATATTCTGCAACATTGCTCTTTCCATTCTTACCATGTGAGACACAGAGACAAGGCAACAATCCACAAGCTAGGGAGAGGGTCCCCTCTAGAAGTCACTCTGAGCTGGGCAGTGGTGGCATATGACTTTAATCCCAACACTCAGGAGGGAGGTAGAGGCAGGCAGATCTCTGGTCTGCAGAGTGAGTTCCAGGACAGCCAGGGCTATGCAATGAAACCCTGTCTCAAAAAAACCCATAGAAGAAAGGGGGAAAAAAAGTCACTCTGTTGACACTACAGGTGCTCTTGGACTTTTAGTCTCTAGAAATGTGAGAAAACAAATTTCGCTTGGAAGGGAGGAAGGAAAAGAAGAAAGAAAATGGGTATGGTAGCTTAATTTTTATTTGTCAAAACATGGTGACAACCCACCTGTCCCCCAATGAGTGACTATCTAAACAAGCTGTGGCCTATCCATAGCACGGGGTACGATGATAGAGCAGTGGAATAGGATGAGCTATTGACATGCAAAACCCTGGATGAATCTCCAGACAGTTCTGCTGAGGGAGAAAGGCCCACTCCAGAAGGTTTCATGTGGCATGGTTTTATTCTTGTAACATCCTGAAGTGATAAAATTATAGAACTAGAGAGCTGGAGAAGGGAGGGGGGTGAGGAAGGAGAGCAAACAGCTATGTTGTAGCCATAAGGGTGACAGGATGGCTCTTCGTGGTGATGGGAAGGTTCCGAATTCTGCATGTGGTACCTCATGATAGTTTTGTATGATGGCACCACATTTGCTGAGGAAGCTGAGTAAAGGGTACTGGATAGCCTCTTGGGCTGTTTCTCAGAACTACATGACACTACAACAATCACCTGCTTATAACAGGAGGCAATAAAGCGCATGCTTACATTTGTTTTATATCTACGGATATTCAGTGTATCAAAAGCTAAAAGACAAAAGTGTTTACTTAATTCATTTGAAAGTATAACACAAGTAGATAGCATGCATATAAAATAACTTCCCAAACAAAGGAAAACAAGCAAGAGATGTGGCAGCGTTTTCTGTCTTTCCGACCTAAGGCCTGACTTAGTTGAGGTGAGTAGGATTCTCTTGGTAGCGTCTGTATCCTATCTTTTGTGATACAGATTGTTTTTTGTTGAAGTTTATAGAGATAAGAAACCAACCTCACAATGGACGGTGGTAGCTCATGCCTTTAATCCCAGCACTCGGGATTTAAAAAAATAAATAAATAAAACCAACCAACCTCACGTGGATATATACTTTGGAAAATAGAAGAATGTTTATTAGCCTTTTTAGATACTCACAGATTTTATATGTATGTATGTACGTACGTACACACACACACACACACACACACACACACACACACACACACACTCCTTAGAAGTGACAACTTCGTTGAAGGGACAGTTCTCTTCCTTGAGGAGTCACAAACTGCAATCTGAAACTTCTATCGAAACTTCCATGTATGATCTATCAAAGTCCCTTTGTCTTCTGACTTTCAGTCTTGTGGAACCCCTGAAGCAGTGTGGGACTACCCGGGGTTCCTGGGCTGTTCTTTTGGAACCGTTGCTCTGGAGTTCTCAGCTGAAGACCTTCAGGTGCAGGGGTTGTTCAATGCATTGACGTTGTTCATGGATTCCCCCAAACCCTTTCCAAACACAGCCTGAGCCCGAGCACACGAAATGACTGGGTACAGCAGCTGCACCGCCCCCTTGGGGAGGGTTCCAACAAGGGTTGGCTCTCTGATACCCCCCACGAGGCCCACACCAGTCTGTGTGGTGCTAAAGTGTATCTTCAAAGAGGTGAGGCCCGGGTCACCAGCACACAAGCCCACGAGGTGACAGGTCGGGGCCTGTGAAAAGAAACTTTATTCCCTCCGTCAACCGAAGATGTTGAATGGTTGAAATGGTTGTGCAGGGAGGCAGAGTGGGGGCTGGGTGCCAGAAACCCCACCGCTTCCCCATCCACATCCCCCACAGAGCAATGAAAGGCCTCTTCAGCTCCCCACACTCAGCTTTTCTCTTGACGGGGCACAATGGCTCCCTGCGAAGCCACGCCAATGGACTAGGGATCTCGTTCCCTTTCACGGTGAATAGTATCCCAGGAGAGCTCACTGCCACAAGTTATTATCGTAGGCGATGAACGAGCCGGGGTGTGTGTGTGTGTGTGACAAAACCAGACACCAGTTCAAGCAGGGAGCCCAACGGCAGGTTTCGCAATCCCTTCGCTTTGTTGCCGGTAATGGTCAGCCGCGCAAATCTGGAAGACGGTGAAATGAGGATGCCTGGCCTTTTCCCCCTGCTGTTTTGAGACCCTGCATCCCTGTGTGGCCCAAGCTGTTTCAAACTCATGATCCTCCTGCCTTAGCCACCTAAGTAGTAGTGGAATTACCCACCCACCCTACCCCAGCTCCCAAACACGCACCGTGTTCTGGTGGTAAGGGAGGCGCAGTGGGTTTTATTGTTCGGAAACAGTCTCGGTGAAGCTGAGCTAGGATTGCAAAGCTCCCACAGAGATCGATGGCAGCAGGCTTTCGTTTGTAATTATTATAGCCAATCGGTGTGTTATAATCATAGCCAATCGGTGTGTTATAATCATAGCCAATCGGTGTGTTATAATCATAGCCAATCGCTGTGACTTGGCTTTCTGGAGTTTGTCCTGAGGGAGGCTAGGTAGTGTGTTTACCTGTGAACAACCCTTGGAGTCTGGCCCTTTCTGTTGTCTCCTGATGTTGCCACAGCTAACGCGCAGGATTTCTGACTGCCTGCTTGTTGCGTAACATTCAGCTAATGAGCACGGCCTTGCAGTTAGATAAGAACTCGGCGTTCCAGGCTGTTCTAGAATTCCACAGAACATGTCTGGGATTCCACAAGGGGGAAAATTCAGTCGTGTGCAATGCCGCTTTTTCTGGGTCTCCTACGTTATTCTTAGTTTCATTTGTCACAACTAAGGTTTCTGGGGTTTAACGGATTCTATAATACCTCTTCTCCCTTTCCTTGGAATCTGACTTCAGGACCGTGTTCGCTGCTTTTCTCTTTGTTGCCATTCGCCTGACACAAGTCCCTAAGGAAGCTAGGATTGATTTTGGCCCGCAGTTTGAGGGGACCCAGTTCACCATGGTGGGGAGTCGGGGTGTCTGGTCACGTTGCCTCCTGAGTCAGGAAGGAGAGCAGGTGAATGTTGGTGCTTTACCTTCTCCTTTCTGTCCAGTCTGGGAGCCCAGAGAGGGCATGATGCTGTCCACATTTAGGATAGGTCATCTCTGTCGGTAAACCTTTCTGTGGGTCTCCTAGGTGACTCTAAATGGTAATGAAGACTGACCACTACAAAGCCCAGGCAGCTGAGGTGAGCCACACAGTAAAAATGATCTGAAAGCCAGTTCTACAATCCAGAAATTGTCCTCTGGGTATTGTGTCAGGCCAGATGCCAAACGTTCCAGTCCCTTGAGACATCTTAGAAATTGCCGCATGGACTGTGATTCTAGCTACAGACAACTATGGGCATGTGATTGTTATCCTCCTTATCTTCTCCCCATTCTCATAGGTTTGGGGAGTGTACGCATGCTTTAGAATGCTTTTAGTTAAATTACAGACTAAATACATAGCACCAGGAAACAATAAACACTCCTGCATAACAAAACATTTCCAAGCTCCAGCTGGTGGTCTCCTTAACGGCAGCAATTATACAGTGCTTGGGTTTGCTATAATGAGGCTTGATTTGTGTTTGGGAATCCCTGAGCTATATGTGAATGAAGGATTTTACTGCTTCCATGGTTTATGACTGTTTCCAAGAGGGATATAAATCTCAGCAAGTAGATTCCAGCTCAGGTTAATATCATTCATTCATTTTTTCCCCACTCAAAATTACAACTACTATAAAATATATACTACGCTAGGCTACAAAAACATACTTATTTACCTGTGGTTCTGTAGAAAATGATGCTTTAATACACACTTCTGCATTCCTTATTAAATGCCAGGCACTGCTTTCTATGGTTTCCCATATATCACATCATTGAATCTACTAAAAACCCCATACTGTGGTGGCATTGATTAGTCACTGCCAAGAGTTTACAGTCTTTCAAAGGAGACAGATACCTGGAAAGATAAATATATCCTGGTGCAGTGGCACACATCTACAATTTTGGTACTTGGGAGCCCTAGGCAAGAGATCCAAGAGTTACAGGCCAGCCTGGGATAAATAGTGAAATCTCATCCTTAAAAGGCAATGTTAAGGTCAGGGAGATTGGCCAGGAGGTAAATAAGTTCGATTCCCAGAATCCATATTGCAGAAGTGGAGAATTGGTATCTCCAAGTTGTCCTCTGATATCCACATGTGTGCCGTGGCACATAATACACACACACACACACACACACACACACACACACACACACACACATACTAAATAAATAAACACAGAACAGGGCGATAAAGTCATGCTGGAACAGATCCAAGAGAATTATGAAAACACAAGAAATACAATTTGACTTCCTGCTACTGCCTAGGCTCCTGACTTCTCAGGATTAAGATTGGGTTAAGAAACACTTGAATCAAGCCATTATTCCTTTTATTGATAATCACTTAAATTTGCATGGTTTGAAAACATTCTTGAGAATTCTAACAGATAATAGATCATCCAATATATACAACTGAGCTCAGCATATTTCTAAATAGTAGACTATTACATTAAGCTTTAAGATATGTTTACTTTCTTCTGAAAATGGGGACCGTCTGGCTTCTTCCTTATCTATTGTTTAAATGTGTGTGGAGCCATGAACTTTCCTCTTGGAGAACCGAAAACCCGTGACACTGGCTGGCCATCAAGCAGACCCGGGTGGCAGGGTGGACACCTCCGCCGAAGCTTGCGATGTGGCTGGCACTCAGAGTTCAGACCCCAGACATGTTTCTCTGACTTGACGGTGTTTGTAGAACCCTTTGAAATTTGTTGAAAAATGGGGAAACGCCACATTAAAACAGGTAGAATTGCTACGTATCGCAGTGTGTGTCATTAATTTCAGCACTTGGGAAACAGAAGCTGGATCTCTCTGAGTTTGAAGCCAGCCTGATCTACACAGTAAGTTCTGCCTAGCCAGGGCTAAGGAGAGCCTGTCAAGGGCAAACGCCAAACCAACAAATAACAAACATCACAAAACAAACAAACAAAAACCATGGAAGATTCTTGTGAACACTGAAACTTCTAGCTTCTCTTAGGAAAATGGAGTTAATGACTGCCAGTGTTACAGGTTTCACTAAGATCTGGTGATTTACAGAACAGCTGCCTCCTTAGGGTGTACCTACGTGGTGGTGAATGGATCAGTGGCTGGTAACCAGAGAGGGGACATGAGAAGTAAAGTGGACGGTTGAAGAGGAGGGTGTGTGTGTGTGTGTGTGTGTGTGTGTGTGTGTGTGTGTGTGTGTGTGTAACCGATTCTATGAGGCGTTGAGTGTAAATTTTGAGTCAAGAGAGGTAGAGATTTGCTTGGAGTGGTCAAAATGGGTCAGACTTGTCAGACTTTGCACTTAAGGGCAAGGATCGTGATCTCATTATACAAGTGGTGAGCATGCACTCGGGTTTTAAGCGGGTGAGTCACGTGGCCAAATTTCTATTCCAGCCCGATCATTCTGGTAGCTGGTGGAGGAAGGCCAGCGCATCCAGCCTGCAGGCCGGGTGTCTAGCGGAAGCTCTGTTGTGATTATCTGAGGGGGTGTTTGCGCTCTGGCAGTGACAGTGGACATGGAAAGAAAAATACAAGCTTGGGAGGGACAAGAGAGTGTTGACAAGGCTCAGGGCTGGCAGCACATGTCAGGGAATGGCAGGAGATGAGGATTACACCCACAATTCTAGTCCTTGTCGGTAGGAGGGCCACCGATGGTGGGAGATCCCAGAGGGAAACGAAGGATGTGGAAGAGAGCGTTGGCTGTTGGGTGTTGACTCTGGGTGTCTGGGTGGACGGCAGTGAGGCAGAGGAATCAATCACCAGGACTCAAAGGGAATGACTGTTGGGAGGCAAAGCTTTGGCCGTGACTGGCATGTCAGTGGCTGTCAAACCCGTGAGGACGGTTAGTCCCCCAAAGAGAATATCAGCGAGGAGGGAGCAGAAAGCCAAGGACAGAAGCCAGGGTCACAGCTAGGGCTGCAAAGGCTCTCTGGCTACAACCACGCTCAGCTCAGACCACAGTGTGCTTCCTGCTTTCAGTACCAGGGAGGAGGCTCTCTCTCTCTTCCTCAGCGCTTTCTTCTTCACACCACCCTTCCTGCTCTGAGTCCTTTCTTGCTTTGCGACTTCATCTTTCACCCTTAGGGTTCCTATTACTATAAAATGCACCACATGGAAAATACGGCTACATACACTTTAACATAAGAATAAGACAAATATACTGCAGCCGGTGTATAGAATGGTCCCAATTATATGCCTGACTCATAACCTGGTGGCTTCTCGCCTCCCTCCTCCCACAGGTAATGTACATTATCCTCCATCTGGCTTTGTGTCTGCCTTTTCTGGAGCCTTTGCATTAACGGTATGAAGCTGTGTTCCTTCCCGCCGTCTTTTGTTGCTGGTGTCTTTCAGTGTTACGCCTCTGAGGATCGTTTGGCTATTCGTACAGCACAGCTCACTTCAAATTGCTCTTTAGTCCCCTGGGTACCACAGTGTCCAGTTCTCCTGCTGACACACACTTGGCACGCCCAGGCTCTGGTCACAGTGGCTGTTGTCTTCAGGAGCACTCTTGTCCGGGTGCTAGGTGAGCGTCGGCACCTGCCAGTGAAATGGCCGACTGTGGCTGAAACGCTGGTGTCCCCAGTAGCTGTAAAATTCAAAATCCTCCTGAAGTCATGTTTCTGTGACTTAAAAACAGCATTGCTGTTTTAGAGACATCTATGTTCAGGGTTTGGCAAGATGGCTCATTGGGCAAAGGTACTCATCACATGACTCTGGAGAACTAAGTTCGGTTCCCAGGACCCACAGAAAGGTGGGTGGGAGACAGTTGACACTACAAAATGTTCACATGTGGGCCATGGCACTCTTGATCTCCTATAAATAAATAAATAAATAAATAAATAAATAAATAAAGTTTAATCTATTAAAATCTATGTCCATTAAATAAGTGTTAAACAGGAAAACACCACCCATTGTTCTAATACTCTACAATTTTAAAAAAGTGATCATTTCAGCAGCCTCCTTTTGTGTTTTTACTTTGTCCTCCCACAGTATTTCCCCCTTTAATTAATTTTCCATGTTTCCTTTCACAGATTTACCCTAATGGCCAAAATGCTCTTCTTTCTCTTTTTTAGGATGTTTTCTTTTTCTGCTCCTATCCATTTTCCAATGGCTAATCTCCTTTAACACTCTGTTACATTGTTGAGAGACGGCCACCCAGATCCCATGAAATTCCCCATAGGTGTGTGTGGGTCGTAGTGAAAGTCTGGCATCAGCTGGGTGGGAGGCGTGGTGCCAGAGGCCTCTGGAAAATCCCTTGGATTTCTTTGCAGTGTGAATTTTTTTTTTCTTTTTAATAGTGTCAACTGTGTGATTGGCCTTTGGGGACCAGCGGATACCAAGTCTGTTGACCTCTCTGTCTGTTTCCTGAGGGGAGGCAGATTGCACCTGGACAACTCAGTGTTTCCCTGGGGTTATTAATGGAAACCAAAGAATCATTTTTAAATAGAAACCCTGGCACAGGATCGTGTCCCTGACCAGGCCTTCAGTCTGCTTGCCACTCCCTGCTGAAACCACATGCAATGGCTGACCCAGAAAGAGCAGACCAGAGCTCCCAAGACCTGGCCACAAAGGAAAA